TATATAGAATATTTATTAATTGTTTAAAGTATCTTTAAACTTGTGTATTAAACGTATGATAATAATAACTATTAATATATATTGTGCATTAGAATAATACAAAGTTTCAAGTAAATAAATATTTGTGCCAAAATGAATTATTCATAATTTTATTTCTCCACGTGTGTGTGTGCGTGTAGTTATGTTTCATACAACATTTTATCGTTAGTCATAAATTTAATATTAGAATGAACTATTTTATTCCGTATTCTAAAACTCATTGAATTGAAATAAAATAATAATAATTTTATTCTCACCATATCGAAATGAAGTATTTTCGATGTTAAATTCTCAAGAAAGTTTCTTTTGACGGGGTCGTGCCTGTCTGAGGGTTTGAATCCACGTGATCGTATTACATTGTCCGCGGAAATGCTCCTTTGTAAATAATTCTTATCATGCAAATTTTCGTAACAACTTTGAAAACTGCTGATATATTTTTGATTCACATTCTTCTTTAAATTATTACTATTGTTTGATGTTAAAACATAGGACGTATAATTATTACTTGTTAAAACGTTACGTTGCTTGGCGTTGTTGGATCTGAAAGAGAAAAAAAAAAAAAAAAACGTCAAAAGAACATATTCATCAAATTAATCAAATTCATCATCATCATTATTATTATTATTAATTGTAAACCTATACACAATATTTTATTTCCTATCAAAATAATTAACTACCAACTTTGTACAATAATCCAAAAAATTCAGATTCCTTACACTTTCATTCTCAATTAATTAATCTTTCATTTTTTATTTAAATAACAAACAGAAATAGAGAGAGAGAAAGAGACAGACAAGAAGACCTTGATAATTAATTAAATAAAACCAGTAATATGAGCCACCCCAGCCCCCTTCTTCCATTCGTACCATTACGAAATGTGGTTTGAAGTTAATTAAAAAAAAAGGGGGGGGGAAATAAAAGTAATATAATTAATAGAACCTTGAACATTGGATATGACGATGATGGGACCTTGGATTTTAGTTAACAGAAGTGTTTATGTATATATTTCGCATAGTGATGAGTTAGTTAGCCAACAAAACACACGAATTTGAAGATAGGGAAAATTCGTACGATGTTTAATGCTTAAGAGACTACTACTATTACTACTACTACTACTACTAATACAAATGAAGCTTTTTTGGCTTGAAGAATTGGTTCCCTTCCAAGCGGCCAATTAATTCCGCGTTGCGGTATTGGCATCGGTACAACGAGACGACGTTCTGTCTAAAAGAAATGCTAAATTTATCTGTTGTAACGTAATACGTAGGTAACACACCACCAGCTAGCAAAAAGCTTTTACTAAAACACTTTTTTTTTTTTACTCTTTCTCACAATTATTCTCTCTCTCTCTCTCTCACACACTCTCATTCTCCTGCATTTATTTATTTAATTTTTATTTTAATTTTATTTTTCTATCTCCTTTTGATTAACAGGATGTTTATAATAAAAGAAATATAAATGTCATCGTGTAACATTTGTGAAAAAAAAGCAAACAAGAAGTTTATCTTATTGAGAACAGGTGTGTCATACTAGGGAAAGGGGGTGGCAGGTGGGATTGGGAGGGGGGAGCTAGTAAATTGTATAGAAATCAAAATGATATTATATTATAAGACAAATGAATGATTTAAGATGAATGTTTTAAAAATAAGAAAAATAATATTAATAAATAAAAGAGAAATATATAAACGAGTGTTTAGTATATATATATATATATATATTAATAAATTTTTTTTCTTTTTTCGTTATTAAATTAAAAGCATCGAAATTAGCGAAATTTTTTCGATGATTATTATTAAATCATTTGAAATGAAATTTTTCAACGATGACGTCAATATTGACGGTAATAAAAAAGAGCATATAAATAAGTATACTAGGTTTAAGAAAAAGAAAAAAAAAAAGAAAGGAAGGAAGGAAGGAAGATAGAAAAGAAATAAAAATGAAATAGAGAAGTGTAATTCATTTGAAAATACACGATGTGAGAGAAAGACGTATGTTGTGTTGTTAAGTAACTGTCGATTTCCGTTGGGAATTTCCTGGTTATTTTCACTCACCTAAATCCTTTCATTCAACTATATATATATATATATATTTCTACTTTTCAATCTAATAGTTTTCTGTTACAATGTGTACTGATATTTACTTGCTTGTAATTATCAAACAATATAAATACAAAAGTTATATATATATATGTAACTCGTATGAATTAGTATTATATGAGAAAAATTGTGCAAGTATAATATACGTTTTATTCGAGTATAGAAATGATTTTTCTTCTTTGTTTTTTATTTTTTTTTTAGACGAGTACAAGTTCGAGTAAGAAAATCGCGATGGTTGGGGGAAAAAAAAAAAAATTATTATCTATTATTATAATATATACGCGTATTGTTAGTGTGTGTGTGTGTGTATTTACCAATGAAAATTGCTTTTATAGTTCGCGTTTAAATCCAAGTATAAAATCCGGGATGTGTGATCGATACGTCGCTTTAAATAGACCTTGTTTGCTAGAAGTTTGAGTTTCAAGCTGGAGCCAAGTAGAACGAACCACCGAATGTTCGAAAATCGAACACTCCTCGACACATTACAATTTTATATTCAATAATAAAATGTATATTTTTGAACACCCCTTCTCCGCCCCCCTCCCAAAAAAACAAACATTGTTTTTCTCATTTTTTCTGTTAAATAACAATTATGTTACATATTTATGCATCGTTAATTTTTTCCTTCTTTCTTTTGTGGTTTACAATAAAACAATAATAAATAACGGAAACAATATGTTATGGTGTTAATTTACAAAGAACAATAGTAATCAGATTCAGACTTGGCTAATAAATATATAATTATATCTTATAATATATAAAGGCAAAAAATAAAGAGTGAAATATCAGGTTTAAAACAAAAAAACTTGTATATTTAATATTATTTTTTGGGAGGTTCTCTATATATATGTAAAAAAAAATGTTATTATATATTTATGATCGATTTCAAACGTTCTTTTCTTTTTATCTCACAAATATAAACTTTAACTAAACTAAATTTAAAAAATCCTTTCTCGTAATCTTAGTTTATGTTCTTACTAACAAGTAAGGATAATCCTTTCTTCTTCATAAAATACGTAAAAAAATAAAATGATTTATAAATTTTTCCAAACTTTGACGCAAAACCTTATCGCAACACCGTACAATGAAGAAACTGTAAACACGTTAGATACTCCCCCCCCCCGCCCCACCCCGCAAACAAAAAAGACCAAGAGAAAAAAGAAAAGTAAAAACAGATACGAATAATAACGTATATAAAAACAAAAAGGAATTAATTTTTCACTTTAAACGAATTCGATAATATTGAACAAGAAAAAAGAAAAAAGAAAGAGACTTATATAAATTTTCTCTCTCTCTCTCTCTCTCTTTCTTTTCTTTATAATTATTTAAACAAGAAGATTGTAAGAACTTTTACTTATCATACGATGATTTCCTCATTTCGATGTTGACGTACAAGGTGGTAGTCGGTGGTTTTTGCTTTCCTATCTTTCTCTCCCCCTCTCTTTCTCTCTCTCTCTCTCTCTCTCTCTCTTTCTTTCTCTTTCTTTCTTTCACTCTCACTCTTATACGTTATATTACTCTTATAAAAGCGGTATTTTCAAACTTCCTCTGAATATATAATTTTTTAATTTGTTTTTCTCAATTTTTTACGTAACTCGCGCTTTTCGTTTAGTATGCTTCGTTCCGAACGAAATAAATCGGAATACGCAATTCCTCGGCACGAAGAAGGCTCCCTCAAACGTGAGAGCTGAATTCGCATCTTGCAAAACTCTCTTCTGCTCCTCGTCTTTGGCACGCACGAGGAGGCGCCGACGAGAAACATTTTAGAAGAAGATGAAGAAGAAGAAGAGGAAGAAGAAGAAGAAGAAGAAGAAGAAGAAGAAGAAGAAGTGAGTACAACGATTGAATTGAAAGTACAGTAATTATGTTGAATCACTTGCTGGCAACCAACAACCACCACATTTAATCAATTTAACTAATCTTTCAAAATGAATAATATGCTTTATTTTTCTTCTTCTTCTTCTTCTTCTTCTTCACGAGAGACACAATATTTTTTTCAATATTTTATAACTGTTTTATATTTTACTCGTAAGTGTGTGTTAACGAATATTAACGGATAAGGAGAAAGAGAGAGAGAGAGAAAATCAAATGTATTTTTATATCAAACAGAAAACACCCACCGTCTAACTTTTCTTGTTCCAATATTTTCTGTTATGATTATCTAAAAAAGAAAACGAAGAAAAAGAAAGAGAGAGATATATATATATTCTTTTTATATATATATATATATATATATTTTACCTTCACACACGTGAATTATCTTATTTGAGAAAATGAAAAAAAAAATAGTGTATTGAATGATAAATATATTTATATTGATGATTTCGAATAAAGTTTTATATATCACAATATAAAAGTAAAACGAATCTTTATTTATTTCTTTTTGATGTATGCGAGGTTTCTAACTTATTCTTTTTTTCTTGTTTTCCACGTGATTATAGTGATAGATTATATTCTATCTCTCTCTCTCTCTCTTTTTCTCTCTTTCTCTCACCCTTTCTTATTTTTGTTCTTTTCGTGTGTGTTTTCTTTTTGAATAAAATATCCACAGCGTGTCTTAGGATACAGCGCACTTACATGCGGTGAATTACAACACGCTCGGCCCGTGCTTTATAATAGCGACCAACCGTCGCTATACCAACTTCCCGACTGCCTTGGCTCGTCTTTGGTAAAAATAGACCATCGAAAAGCGACACCTCAGGAATCGGTGGCCCGTTCGTTCTGCCGTCACGACAGATCTATCTTACACGTTCCTTTATCTCATTTTCTCTTTCTTTCTTTCTTCTTTCCTTCCTCTTCCCTTTCTCTATGTTTCGATGTTTTCTAAATTGGTTTCTTATTCTTATTCTTATTCTTATTCAACTGCTACAGACATAATCTCTCTCTCTCTCTCTCTCTCTCTCTCTCTTTGACTGTTTAAGAAAGTTTACAATCTTCTGGGGTAGTTGCCCTTGATTCACCTCACGTTAAACACACGCTTCTTGAGTAATACTTTTGTATATAATTGTACTCTAATATATAATATATTGTGTTTGTTAGATAAATAGAGAATGGACGGGGATTATAAATTTCTTTATGCGAATAGAAATAGAGAGATTTGAAAAAAGAAGTATATAGATAATTATTGTTATTAGTTTTATTAGAAAATTATTATATTAAGTGTCCTTTTTTTTTTTGTTCCCTTCAATAGGGCTAATAGATAAATGAGATATATATCTAAGTTTGAAAATATTTTTTTACATTTGATATTAATTGTATTTCTAAACAGATAGTTTTTAGTTTTTTCCAAAAGTTAGACTAGATTTTAAAAATTATTCATTTCAATAATCTACTTCATCCGGGTCTATGATATCAGTAACAATATCTTCTTTACTGTCATCGTCATCATCTTCTTCGGTCATGTTTTGATAAACTACTGCATTCTTAGCGGACACTTTACTCTTCGTTGATTTTTTCTTTCTTTTCAATTTTTTATTTTTTGATCCTTCTACAGATACGTCTTCATCATTTTCTTCACCTTCCCCTTTCATTCGTAATTCAAAATCACTTTCCTCTTCGCTACTCATCGCATCCTCTTCATTCGATTTCCTTTTAGATTTTGTCAAATTAAGGAAATCGTATTTACCCAATTCATCATTTTGCGTTATATCTTTCATCTTCTGATCTTGATGTATCTTAATCCAGGAATCATAATATTTCGCTAAATTTGTACCCTCTACTTTTACACCATTTTCCCAATTTTTAATCTCACCAATGTCTTGTAAATTAAATACTTTTTTTGATCTTAAATCTGTTATGTATTTCGAATTTTCTTCGATTTTTTCCAACAATTGTTTCATTTTTTTACAGTAATTCGCTACGTGACATTTCTTTAAAAATGCTTTCAACTGTAATTAAAATATTTCCAAATTAGATAACGCGTTATCATCATGTATTTTAAAAATTATAAATATAAGAGATATTATACTTACTTCCATTACACATACGATATATAATTCTGGAAAAGATATTAAATGGCTATCCTTTGCTGCATTTTCTAATATTAATTTATAAATAGTATCAATTACCGAATCCTTAAAACCATTTTCTATTAATTGAGACTTTGACATTCTTAATATACAAGTAAAAGATATTGGTTTCATTGATACATTTTTATGTTTTTTATTAAAATCATAAGTTGATAATACCTAAAATCAATATTATAATATATTTTTCAAAATAATTATAAATACGTGTATTTTTATAAATGTATGTGAATTAATGAATTTATACTATACCTCTAATAGAAATGGTAAAATAGGTATGAATGTATTCGTTCCCTTAGAAATGTTAATTAACATTTGCACACAGTGAAAACGTAAAGGATAATATTGTTGAGTTGGTATTACTTTAATTGTTCCAATAATAATCTGCAAATATATATAATAATTGTAATCTATTTACATAAATATTGTTTAAGTATAATTAACATAATTATATATTACCTGTACTAAAGGATACAATAAAGTAGAGAGGCTTGATTGTTTTTTTGATAATGCTATTAATCTGGTCCAGAAGAATAATGAATTTATATATTGCCAATTATAAATTGCTTGAAAATGTTCCTATGGAAATAAATGAATATTGTTTTAATTTCATTAGTTTAGAATAATTACAAATTATAAATAATTACCTGTTTCTTTAAAGTTATTGCATTTCTTAAGTAAATAGCAAGTTGTCTGATATATACAAAAGCATATTTGTAAGCAAGATCAGGATTCAGTAAATATATCTCTGTTAAAGAATGTCTCATAAAATTTATTCCAGCCAATGTGTTAGGTGATACAAATTTAGAATTTTGTACGTACTTAAAATACATAGTCTGAAAAAAAAAGAAAAAAGAACATAATTAGAATTGATTATTATTTAGAAAGAATTTCTTAGAAAAACAGAAAAATATAACTTTACCTTATAAAGTGTTTCCAGTATAGAATCTTTTTGATTTATAGCCATACGTAATATGCATAAAAATGCAATGATTCTGATAGCATCATCTCCGGTTGACCAAAAATTCAATAGTACTCTTAATAATGGTTTTTTTAATGAAGAAAATGATTGAGTGTACGGTAACATATTGTATAAATGTTTTAAAAGTACTATTTGTATATTAGCCGATGTAACATTTCGTAAAATCTAAAAAGAAAATATAATATTGTTATTACAAACATTACTATATATAAAATTACTTGTATTATAAATATTCAATTAATACAAACCATAATCAAATCAGTTAAATACGATTTTAATGAGCTTTTTACTTTTATGAATTTTTTGCATTTGTGTGCCTCAAAATATGCATCGGTGTTCAAATTTAAAAAACGTTTGAGCGCATCAGATAAATGAATAATGCATAACTGAATGACTTCATTAAATACTGAAATTGTAATATTTTATGATTATAGCACGTTTAATCTAATTACAAGTGCATTAATTAAATATAATAATACTTACTGGCACTTCCTTCAACTTTAAATGATGTAACCTTTTCATCAGGATTTTCTTGCACGGTTTGCAATGCCGCATGAAAAGCTTCGATTGCAATTTTAATAGTTTTCGATGTTCTAGAAAGATATAGTTGTGAATATAGATTTTATCCATGTGTTCATATAATAAATACAATTATTTGAATAATTAAAAATATATATAAAAATATATTACTTGTCAGTTTGAATATCATTCTGCCATGTTTTTAATAATTGTAATGTAAGTTTGATCTTATCACCGGTTGATACAATTTTTTCTTCTTGTTCAAAATCACTCTCATCGCTGGCCACCTATGATATTATAATAATTAGAATAGAAAGATAAAATATTATAACATATTCATATTTTAAACTTATATAGTATTTCTATACCTCTAACTTATCGTTAGGTTTATGACATAATTCAGATTCATCATCATCATCATCGTCAGAATTCGTATCACTTGACATTTTAAATTTTAATAGATTTTCATCATTTTCTTTTAAATAAGAATAAAACGTAGGATCTATTTTCTCTAAGTTCTTTAATGTTCTTTCATATTCTTCTGGATCCATATCGCTATCACTGCTTTCTGTATCATGTTTTGGAATTTTTTCTTTACCTGATAAAAAAACAAAATATGCATCATAAAAAATCATAGTCTAATACATAATAGAATCTAAATATATATATATATATATAAAACAAATAAATACGTTTTTTCTTATTCGGTCCTTCACCATTTAATTTAAGATCATTGCTTTTGGAAGATTTTTTTTTAGATTTATCTTTAATCAAACCACACATTCTTCTCATTGCAACAGATTCATTAGAACCTTTCTTCAATTTCTTTGGCTGATTTTTCTGCATTGTTTATAATCAAAACTAAATATGGAAACAATAAATTAATTAATATTAATTTATCACATTGATATATTAAAATAACTTTAAAATAAAAAAAAATATATATATATATCTAATATTTAGTCTTACCTGAAAAATATATATTAACACAACTTATATATATTTTAAAAAAATATAAATTATATTGAAATCAATAATATACAGAAAATACAACACCACGTGGGATATTTTGTATTACACTGTAGTCCTCTAACCAAAAGAAATATCTGCAGGAAATAGATTTGCTGTTAAAAGATGGCGCCACTTGTATTGCAACTAAACCACCAATGAACTAATAATGCACTTGAAGCGACCAATAGAATAAATGTGCATTCTTTTACATTACAAAAAAAAAAGCGGGTAAGACAAATGAAATTTGTAGAAAAAGAAAAAACAAATGAGAACTTGCCAAAGAATATTTCCACCAATCAAATAATTATCTTTTTAAATTACGTTAAAAAAAAGTGTTACAAATTATATAGAAATATTAAATATTATAAAATAGTAAATAATTATATATATAAATAATTTAGAACAATACATTTGAAAACCGGTTACAGTGAGTATGTATTATTACAAAATACTGTTTTATTTGTTTAAATATATTCTTTATTTATTTTTATACATACATTGCATTTTGTTTTGTTTTAATAATAATATCCATTATTATACAGGTATTAATAATTAAACAA